TAGATAAAAGTGGCACTTAAGAATAACAGTATGAATCAGATAAGGAAGATTCTTTATCTGGAGTCTACAGAGTCCACAAATGGGCTTTAATATATCCAAGAACTTAAAATTGATCTGTATGTTCAAATGATACTATTTCTATGTGGGGAAGTATCTGTGCAATTACACACTAAATTTATAAGGGTGACTAATTTTGATGAGGTGGTAGAGAACTTTAGTTTTGATTCTTTTTAGTTTTGATTCTTATTTATCCTTTGAAATGAGTATTTGTGCATGAATAACATATGACTAAAACTAACTCCAAAATTGGTTGTAAATGTATATTTGTAATATTTTATGAAGATGGGGCAATGATTTCATCTTATGCTAGGAAATATGAATCTTTTATGTTATATAGTTTGAATCTGGAAAAAAGTGATACATCATCTGGTTAGAGACATATTAACTTCAAATTTTATATATTTGAAGTAATGTCAAATGTTTGAGAAGCTTCTTTGACCTTGTTGTGTTTGTTATTCCTTAAATGAATTGGACTAGATTTACTCATTAAAATTAATACTTTGAGGCAGCTCTCATTTATGTATAGCACCTCTCTTATATTGCTATAGTATGGATCAGAATGTACAGTAGATGGCTTTCAACACAAACCTACAAATGGCTGAGTTGTTGCCATGGTGAACCAGGAGTCCACATAACAGGTGGCCTTGATTATGCTATAAATTTCACTCACCTAAAGTATCAGATTTATTAAGTGGAGAAAGCTATAATATACAAATAAAGTATTGTCTAGAAAAATAAGCAATAAGAATCATTCAAACTTTGTATGATTTAGGTATATATTTTTTTATTACTATTTAAGAAGACTGTGTTTACATGTGGGGTAAACTAGGCTTAGAAAAGTTCCTTTGAGGGGCACCTGGGTGGCTCAGTCGGTTAAGTGTCTGCCTTCAGCTCAGGTCATGATCTCAGAGTCCTGGGATTGAGTTCTGTATTGGGCAACTTGCTCATCAAGGAGCCTGTTTCTCCCTCTGCCTGTTGCTCCCCCTGCTTGTGCTCTCCCTCTCTCTCTCTCTGACAAGTAAATAAATAAAATCTTTAAGAGAACACTTCCTTTTAACACATTTAATTTATAGAATAATTATTAGGTATAGATGGATAGAATTTGGGATGGTAGAAATCAAATACAACTTAGCACCAGATGTTGTTCTGGACACAACAATCTGAATCTCTATATTTCTAAGTGCCAATCTAGAACAACAACAAAAAAATAAATCCTCTTGGAACCATTAATCTGTGTACCACTAAATAGAGTCCATTTCCATTAGAGATGATGCACTGGAGACAGAGAAAAGTGACTATTGCATAGCAACTTGGAAACAGCCCTGTCTGGTTAACTCTGGTCAATAAATCTTACACAATCAGTTATATTTTACATGACTGTCTTTTCCAAAGCAGTTGACCCAATGGTTCCCTCATTGTTATCTGAAAGTATTGTCTTCCTTTAGGCTTTCAACAGGTGACTCTATTAGCTATAACAGGTAACTAAGAAGAAGCTAAAACCCTGTAAGGAATTCACGGCTTTCTTTCTCTATAAAATTTCAGTGAAATAATTTTTTTCCTAATTGTCCACACCTTTAACTGATCACAGGGAGCACCCTTGCCTGACTATGAAATAGTGACTGGAAATATAAGCACCCATCTCATGAATTTTTAAGCTCTTTATTTTATTTTACTATTTTATTTTTAAGCCACATTTAAAAAAATGTGTGTATTTGGGTTCAAAGATCAAAATAGTTGCCTGAATTCTTAGTGCACTTGACCTAGATAGAAAGCTTATGATGTCAGAATACATACATAAAAAGTAATACCTTCATAGTACACTTTTATTTGACTTCAAAAATTTAATTCAAAGATCTTGTAATAATGACAATAATGTGTTGAAAAAGACTTCATGACACCAATCAAAACTCACTGATTATAGACTGTGGTTATCATGACAGGTTAATTATTATAAAATCCCATCTAGTGTTCATAAATAATACAGATTTTTAAATTCCTAAAATACCAAAGAGATCAATAATGTTGATCTAGTTTTCCTTTGCATTTCCTTGAATCTTTTCGGGAAGTGAGAATTGGCATTATTATTATTATTATTATTAAAAGTTTGAGGAAATAAATCTGTTGCCTCCAACTGGCACATAGCCTCTCGTGCTCTGGCCCCAACCATTCTTTCCATCCTTATCTTCCCCTCACACATAAGCACCAGAAAAATAGAGGAGCCTATTCCATCTGGAATATAACCCATACCATCCCAGTTCGTGCTTTCATCCAGGCTACTTGAAAGGCTCTCATTTCTCATGCCCTTCACTGTCAGTCTGTTGCACCCAGTATTAGTGGCTTGCATTCATTCAATGCTTACTACGGACAATGCTTTTACTAAGAGCATTATTTCATTTGTGCCTTTTAACAACCCTATTTTACAGAATATGAGAAACTTTGGTAGTCATCCAGATAGTAAATGACAGATCTGGGATCTGCACCCAGGTAGACTTTACATTTCACCTGTGATGCATTAACTTAACACCGTGATACAAGTCCCAGTAAACTGTCAAGGTCTAGAGAAAACAATTGTTCTCCCATGGATATTTCATTGACTTCCCCAACTTCTCTCCATTATATCTGCCCCTGTATCTCTCTGAGTCAAACCTTAATTTCTCACCACTGATAAAGTTAGTAATGTACTCCTCTCATTTCCTCCGCTAGGTATTCTGATTCATCTTAATAGTCTTTGTGTCAGAGAGTGCAATGGGAAGCCCTCTATTGATAATGGTTAAGTGAATTCATCATTGACAGATATGAGATAATTCAAACTATATCACAAATGACCTCTGAAAAACAATTTAAAAAATCAATTTAGCATGTCTATAATGTAATAAGTAATGATCAAGACTGAGTATTTCTTCACAAATTTGATTTTTAACTTAAGTTTATAAGAATGATCAAAGAAGTGATCCATTTGGGCATCCTAGTTTCAAAATTCATTCATTCAATTACTTACATTTAAAAATTTTTTTTAAACAGAATTCAAAACATTGTTCAAGGATCCTAGGGGAATTTTGGTTACTCTAAAGAACCAGTTGAAAATGGAACTAATTCTTCATGATAATGACTATATATACAGTCATTATCACGACTTGCTTTTATTTGCTTTTTATTGAGCTGATTCAAAAATTTATTTTTTTTACTTCCTTTTTATTGAGCTGATTCAAAAATTTATTTTTTTTACTTGCTTTTTATAGAGCTGATTCAAAAATTTATTTATTTTTTGTACAAATACGTATGTTGACTCATTTAGATAATGGTAAATTGTCTGGGAAGAAAAAAAATAATTGTTTTTCTTAAATATGCCAAGCAAATATAACCATTTTTTTAATTCTTGAAGATAAAATGGATACTTTAATATCATTTACAGACAACCTTCATTTATTCACCCAATTTCTCACATTTAAGAGGGGAAGTGATTTGAAGAGTTATTTGTGTCTCCTCTCTTGCAAGCCATCAAAAGGTCACTTTTTCTCACCTTTGTTTTAAATTTTGGTATTATATTTTTTTTTGACAATTGTCTCACAGAAGTTTTGAAGTCTATTTCTGTTTAAATAATAATAATAACACATAAGATATAGAATGACCAAATTTAAGGTTTGCCTTTTAGCCTTTCATATTTAAATTTGAAGTGTATGTTGCTAAAAATTACATAATAAAGAAAAGAGTAATTATTTGCAGGTTATAGTAATTTACTGAATTCAGAACAAGGATTCTTAGGAAAAACTCAGCGTTAAAAATGAGTACCACCTTTACTTTTCCTTTTAACTTTTGCAATTTAAAAACATTTGCCTCATTTTGAAAAATTAAAATTAAAAAAAACCTATTTTTCCACAGCACAATTGTGCCAGTTTTTAAAATGCTAGAACTTCCTTCAGGAATGAATTACTTCAAAAGGATTTTCTTAAACTTAGTCATTTTTTCCCCCTCAGTGACTCAAAGCACAAATAACCAAACCATGATTGTTAATTACACCTATTGATCATCAGTGACAGAACAGCATCCTATTAAATTATCTTGGAAACTGGAAACAAGCTAGAAACCAAGAAACCAGCTATAGAACTTAAAGGAGAAGAAAAAATTATTTTCACTATTAGGCCCACACTAGGAATAGTGCAGTTATTTTATTGATTGTTGGTGGAAGAAGTGGCTCTCTGAGTCTTTCCTGGAGATTAACCCAAAGCAAACAAGAAGGTCATTGGGTCTGACATCTGACCTAGAGGAAATTAATGACCTTTTCTCTGAGCATTAGGTACTCTTTAAGCTGAGTTATTCTCCAATGAGAATGTTGTTACCTATCATAGCATTCATTGTTCAACTTATTGCCTAGAACTTACAAAAGAGTTTTTAGATGTGAAGTATCAGAAAGCTAGCAAAGAGAGATTAAGGGCAATGTTTTCTGGGATAAAATACTCCTTTTACACTCACACATTTTTGTTCTATCAGTGTTGCCTTTAGTGTACCTTGGACACTGTTGCCCAGAAATAAATGCATAAATCTACTCTTGCTTGTTTCTGATACAAGAAAATGATGTAACACATTCATTTTGGTTTTTCCTTGTAAAAGAAACAGGCTAAGTGAGTCTGCCCTTGACAGGTGTGACTCCCTAATCAGCACCACTAGGCAGCCTTATGCAGCTTCAGCTAGTGGAAACTCCCATCCCCCACCCCCAACTTTAAACAAAGCCATTTAATTTGGTCTTAAGCCAAGGTAAGAGAAAAAAATAATACCAATTAGTAAGTAAAAGGACAACATTAAGAGGCAGAGTCTGCCAACAAGAACCCACATGCAAGCCAGAGGAGATTTATGATTTTCTTCCCCAGGGAGGGAGTGACTAACGCACGCACACTGACCATCACCGTAAAGAGGTAAAGAGAGAGTGAAATGGCTCAACGTACACACACCCCGCTCCATACCGGGGACGAGTCTCCGAGCTGCGGCTTGTGCTCTCGGAGGGCCAGGCTGAAGCTGACCGCCCCCACGGCCACGCTGGATACCCCCAGCCCTATCTCCAGCACAGAGAGCACCAAGAGGCTCCCAATAATCTGGCCGCTGGTGCACATCCTTCCTCGGTCATCATTCCTTCCAGATCAGAGAGGGAAACCAACCATCCACCTTCTTCCTTCCACTATCCTCCTTACCCCTTCCGCCCCCTACCAGACCCCAAAACTTTTCTTTCTTCACCAGCGAAGCATTATCCACAAGGACTAGATTTCCAGAACCGGAGACCCTCTTCCCGGACTGGGCCAGAGCAAAAGAGTCGTTCCACCCCCTGGTACGTTCAGGCAGGAATCGTAGAATTTTCCTGGGTTCGGTGGTCTGAGTCCAGGAGAAGAGAGTGCACCGGTAGAAGGGCTTTCTTTCAAGAGGCAGCCAGAAACCTGGAGGAACCAGGAGCAAGGAGCCCCGCTCGCGAGGCGCTGTCCAGAGTTCTGCCGCTTCCCAAGTCTCTGCAGGAAACCTGCTCGCTTCTAACCTCCCAGACCCTCAGGCTCCCCTTTCTTTCCTGGCGGAGGAGATGAACCTTGCTTCCCGGAGATCCAAAGCGGAACTGCTCAGAGCCTCTCTCTCTCTCTCTCTCTCCCTCTCCCTCTCCCTCTCCCTCTCTCTCTCCTTCTCGTCTCCTCTCCTTTGTTTTCGTGGTAACACAAAGTGCTCCTGCGAGTCCTTCGGTCCCCAGGCTGAGCGGGCGGATATATTCAGTACCACGCTCCTCGCTGTTGCTGTGTCGCCAGAAAAAGCGACCTTGTCTGATGGCCTTTCCCCGTCTGGGTTTCTTCTCCCTCGTCGTCGTCCTCTTCCTCCCCCTCTCTCTTGGTCTGATTCTCTTTCATTTCAGTGACCTCATTGGGATTTGAGAGGTTGATGGAGGAAGGAAAAGCTGATGTGGGTCTACTCTTGGCTGGCTCCTGACCAGCCCCGCCTCGGGACCCTGACCACAGTGATCCAAAGGATCCCTACCTCTTCATCTCCCCTACTCGCTCCCTTCCGGGCTTTTATCCATATGGAAGGGGAGGGATGCCTACGTCAACGTGGGGCTCATTCTGTGTGAAACTTTCTTCTGCGTGCGCACGGGGTAGGGTGGGGGCGCACTGGGCAAAGAAAGGCAGAAAGAGCAGAGTGGTGGAGAAAGGCCAGACTCCTAAATTCCCTAGGACTCCTAAGGACTCTCATCCAGGAACGCCTCTTTCTAAAGAGCGAGACTCAAGCCTGTTCATAAGGAGCGCCTACTCTCCGTTGTCACGACCTGTCCCTGTGTGTCAGTGGCAGAATGGTGTGGAGACGCAACTGGAGGGACAGTCTTCTGTGGGGATATTGGTCGCTGTTCCTCTCCAAAGGGCAGACCCTTACTCTTACCCAGCAGCAATGCTACTGGGTAAGAGTAATACATTGTAATACATTGTATACATTTAAGTATTTCATTGGAAAAGGCATTAGTAAAAACAAAAATCTGGCTCGTGGAACAACTGACAGTCATTCAGAATCATTAAGGCAGGAGCCAACACTAGCTTGGGTGTTTTGTATTGTAGTCTGATGCATATGGGACTCTGGGAGTCTAGGAATTGCTGTGTCTGGACCCCATTTTCATGTCCCTGGTTTTACCTCATGAAAAATCACAAGGTAGTTCATCAGGGAGACTCAGGGAGCAGGGAGATGAGAAGGTGTTTTGGGGGTATGAGCCATCTTTCTCAAAAACTGGGTTTCACAGTTGGAGATAAAATGAAGGAAAATAGAAGGAAGGACCATTGAGTTAAGAAACATTATACAAAACCAGGACACCTTGACCTCTGAATACATGCAAACCAGTGAAACGCAGGCATCTCTCTGATTCGAAGTTTCTTTTTTTAGAGCCTCAATGCTGAGGTCACTAAAGCTGAGTGACATACAAACTATACAGCATAAGCGCCAATTTCAGTTTTCTTAAATTTGGTTCAGGGCTTGTTCAATAGTGTAAATTCAATTCTACACTATAATATACTTTCTTTATATTTATACTCTATATTTTAAAAAACTTGAGTCCTCTCTTCTCCTAAAAATATAAAAGCAGGAAGAATGATAACTTATTAGGCCTTCAAGGGTCTTCAGTTTTTGTGAAATTTGGGGAACAACTTAAACATTTATGCTCATTTGTGAATTCATTTTCCATATCTTGAAAACTCAGTCTGCCAGACAGCCAATTGTTAGAATCCTTCAAATATTTTTTGGGTTTTAATGAAGCACAGTTGATTTTATTTAAATCTTGTAGAAGTCATCTAAATGGTCCAATTTATATGTAGAAATAATGAAGTATCTAGGTTGCCTAATTTTGGTCTGTCTTTAGTTACATCTTTTCCTTTTTTTTTTTAATTCTTCTCCATTTGAAAGAGAATAACAAGCTACAGTAATTACTAAAACAGATTGGTTAATACAGACATTTGGGAGGAGTGTAACTTATAGGAAGGGAAATTAATTTTATAGGAACATACAGGTAGTGTTAACAATAGGTGGATTTCAAAGAGAGAAAGAAATGAGTAAGTCACATATTATGTTTGAATTATCCCTGAATGTGATGGCTAGAAATATGTTTACTTAAATACCCCAAAGCCTAATCATATGCCTGAATATAACAAACCTTGAGAGATCCTGGGTCATTAAAACAAAGCCCAAACCTTACGAAAATAAAAAATATATGGAAGAAACTATAGCCATCTTCACTTACCAATAATTACAAGTGAGTCACACTTAAACAGAAACATTGATAGGAATAAAATGAAAAATAATAATTATCCATAGGAAATTATGTTTTGTGTTTAAAAACATGGGGATCGATACTATTAGTCTTTCAAGAGAATATTACCTGTTCTGGGAAAAAAAGTCTATTTTGCATACCCTTTCAAATGATATAAAAGTAAACAAAAGGATCACTAAAATTTACTCATAATCATGGAAACCATAACAAAAATGGATTCAAACTGGCATTTTATATCTTGCAAAACTATTTGTTAGAGAAAGAATTATAGGATAAAATAGCAAATCAAATTAAAACTAAATAAATATATGCATAAGTAGGGCACATTGTTATGCAAATACCAAAGGCTCTACAATAAAAAGGTTTCATTTTTTTTATGTCATGTTACACCATAAGAGCTATTCATGAGATCCAGCAATACAAGGCTCAATACTTGCACATTTTCAATAAAAGCCATAGTTTGAAAAATCTCAAGTTTGCCACCTGCTGGCTTGTTTATGATACAGTGAACATGAATGTGTAGGTAACTTAAAATAATTCTTATTAAACTTATTAGCTAATCAGAAAAAAAATCCTTCATAATCACCCTCTTTAAGGACCTATGTTCTGCCAATAAGTATTTAAGAGTTCTGAGAAACTCGTGCCTTCATCTTCCCAAATAAGACCTATAGAAATTTTAATATATGGGTAACAGAAATTATAAGAGTTGGTAAAAAAAAATACCACCTGTCTTAATATAATGAATCAAGTGGATGAAATAAGCAACTCAATCACTGATACAGATTTAGTAACTGAAAGGTCAAAATTTTAAACTGATCAGTTTTGGAATCTGATATAAAGTGTTCAAGCTTTTATTTTATTTATTTATTTATTTATTTATTTGACAGACAGAGATCACAAGTAGGCAGAGAAGCAGTCAGAGAGAGAGAGAGAGGAGGAAGCCGACTCCCTGCTGAGCAGAGAGCCCAATGTGGGGCTCGATCCCAGGACCCTGGGACCATGACCTGAGCTGAAGGCAGAGGCTTTAACCCACTGAGCCACCCAGGCGCCCCATGTTAAAGCTTCTATAAACTAAATTTATATGGTGACCCAAGCACTAGACGGAATGACTAATGAAGTCTAAAGATTAAGGAAAAGAAAAAAAAATCACAAAATCATTACAGACAATGTAGCAATTTTTAAGCGTTATAAGTCTATATCTTAATACTCTTGAGTCAACGTGGTTAGAAATGATTTTATCTAAACACCTAGGATTTGATAAAGAGACTGCTAAAAAAGGGAAATATTAAGAAGCAGAGATAATTAAAAGTGAATTTGTCTTTTCTTTTTTTTCCTACTATCTACTAAGATAGTAGATCCTAGAAGTCATTATCTAATAGTATTGTCAGTGCTTACAAAAATTAGAGAAAGCACAGTGTACTTAGTACTGTATTTATCATAATTTCCCATTTATGCCTGAAATATTCTTTGATTACTAACAACTGTTATCATGAAAAAAAACCCCAAATGATGTATTTTACAGTATTTCTACTCTTAATAAAGTATGGGTGGGTATTTCTTCTCCTGGCCATTATAGGGTAAATGGATTGGACTACTTCCCTACTATATACAATGTATTCAAATAAACTGTTCGGATACTATATGACAAGCAGCGCAGCACTGTAATCTCCAGGAAAGGAGAAATAAGCAAGGTTTTCTATTCTGGTCTTTCTATGAGAAAAGGAGTACCAAGCAGAACATGGTGGTCTTACTGAATTTCTGGGATATATAGCAGAGTTTCTGGAGGCTATTTCCAGGACAAAGTATTAGAAAGGAGGGTATTTCATGGAGAAATAGATCTCCATGGGATCACTTGAGTCCGCTGTTAAATTCTTAGCTACACAGTCACGGGATATAACTCCATAAGCCCTCAAGCAGAATGATTAGAAAACTAAAATCTGAAGCTTACAAGATGTCACAGAACGTTAAGATTCATAGCAGCCAACAAGACTCTTCGTTGAACACTCAGCCTTTAGTGGAACTCAGGTGGGGCACACATAGGTAATAGGGCTAACCTACACCTGGAGGAAAGGCAACTCTATCTCTGACCTGAAAATACTTCAAAACAGGCCTCTAAAGTATCAGTCTATTCTGTAAGTAACTTAATAAAGTTTAACACATCTTAAAGAAAATGATAAACCGTCACTCAACAGTGTAAAAGTCAGAGTATACACTATCCAGTTATCTGAAATACAAAAAAAGTTGGAAAATGTGATCGATAACTGAGATATCAGAGATGATGAAATTAGATAACACTTTAAAATTTCTATTATAAGTATTAGAAATATGTTCAAAAATGAAGAGGAAAACATTAATGTGATACTATATAAATTGAAGATATAACAACAAAGTACAACTTCTACAGATGAAAAATTGTGTATCTGAAATTTAAAAAAGTACATTTGAAAGTAAAAGCAGATTAGACACTAAAGAAGAAAAGATCAGTGAACATTAAGATATAACAACAGAAATTAGAATTACAGCCAAAAAAAAAACCCCAAAACAACAAAAAACCCCAAGCCCACAATATAAATTAATCACCAAAAAACTATAAGTGAAAGACACAGAGAGAGAGAGAGTCATTAACATGTAGGGGAATTCAAGAAGTGAGGCATAGATGTAATATAAATTCTAGAAGAAGAGGCAAGCAAAAATACTTGAAGTAATACTGGCTTATTATTTTCCAAATGTGGTGAAAACTACAAACTCACATATCCAAGAAGTTCAATAAACCACAAGTAGGATAACACAACAAGGCATATTACAATCAAATTGCTGGAAATCAGTGATAAGGATTAAAAATTAGAAGCAGTCAGAGG